TACATGTAATTTGGATCGCCTGTACAATTGATTCTATTTTTATCGTTAGATAACATTAGGAGCGTTTACTTGCATTATTTACATCATTCGGGCTGTTATCTTCATCTTCATTGCCATATTCACAACGTTTCAGCCGTTGCATGCTCCGGCCTTCTTCAGGTGATTGGAATTTCGAATCGAAACCGATGTAGACTGTTCTAGTTCCATGTACCATGCCTCTGCTGGATGTCTCAGTTATTTCCCTTTAACTCAACTCTTCAAGTTGTTGGTTCACCACTGCTGTGACTTGGTATTGAACTCACAACTCTTTGGATCTAACCAACGTCTTTATCCACTGACCTTGAGGATAACAGTCCAAATAATGTAAATAATGCAAGTAATCATAATACCTCATGTCAGAGATATAGACATATATAGGAGCGTTTAGTTTTAACTAATTTCATTGAAAGAATGGTTTGCGTATATTTTGTTATAAAATTATTGAAAATAGCGCATTTTTCGCATATTGATTTAAATATTGATGATGAAAGCAAATAAGCCACAATTTCGGTATATTTTTGTTTTGTTTAAATTTTTAAAAAATCAAATAAAAATACGACTCAAACAAAAAACAAATGTTGATTTGTGCATTTTATGGAGTAACATTGTAAATGATTGAACATAGCAAAAGGGGTTTGCGAAGTTTCTGGCTAGAATTGTTTTGCTGCCCAATACTGCACGATCAGGTACACTAGCTAAATAACATTAATCAAAGTAAACGATAACATCATACTTAAAATGTTGAAATCAAGCATTGAAATCATTTACATAAACATCATTATGTTTATCGTATTGTAACTTCCACATATCAAAAGTGAAAAAACGACTGGACATCATTACTGCGTCGTATTCGCTACTTAGATGTAAACAAACTACGAGGGACGATAAAAAGTGGTTACTATACAACATTGTAGGGCGCAAAAGATCAGGATGCAAACAGAATGAACACCCACTAAGCGTTCTGAAAGCTAGTTTTCATCAACTAATTGATTTGTTTTTTACGGCTTATCAACTCTTTATGGGTTATTTAAACCCAAAACACATTTTGGATTTTAAGAATTTTTTTTTTTTTTTTTAGAAGTGAATATTGCATTAACATTTTTTGAGAATAACAATGACTTTCCGAATCCAAGTCTTACTCATTAACCCATATCTGGGGGGGGAGTGGATTGGTTTTTCATCGAAAGACGTTATGTACTGAAAGTTTCTTTCAGAGATAGAACCAAACGATTGATTTGAATAAGTATTGCTCCCAAATTAAACCAATGGTAATCAAGGAAAAACGTCCGAAAATAAACAATAGAAAAGACATAATATTCCCTTGGGACAACGCTAAGCGGAATGTGTTTGTGGTAACCGGACAAAAAATATGGACTGGGAAATCAGTGATATTCACCAGATATTGTAACGTCAGATTAGCAACTATTTAATTACTTACAGATTTCACTAAATGATAAAAATAATTTTCCTGAAAGACTGCTAAAAGCAAAGTTCTTTCTTCAGAAAGATAAAAATTATGGTAGGATGGAATTAAAAAATTACTTGGAATATGATAATGCCAATGGTAATATTAGCCGTTTCCTTATAAGGAAACATCTGGCATTCATTGATCGAGCAGCCAGTACTGCTTTCGGGTGAAATTTTTAGTTTTTTAGTTTTTCAGGAAAATAGCTTTTCTAAATCCAGTAGCTGTTATCGCTCATTCCAGTAGTGATAGAGTTTTCCTTCCTAGCCTTTTCTTTGAAGTCGTGTGGAATGTCAACATCTTATTTATCTCATGATTTTTTCTTCGAGTAAAATGTGCTATCCATTTTAGTTGTTGCTGCTGTTGGTAGTCTTCAAGTGATGTGGCTTTTGTTATTTGGTACAGTTCTTGGATTGTGGTTCTGTATCGCCAGTCCACAATGTTCAAAGAAGGGTGATCTTCAGTCGCTCAAAGACTTTTTAACCATGGAACTTAGAAAGCCGTAGTATACAGCTGACAATTTAGATATTTTTGAAGAGGTTGGCACCATGCATGACATCACAAAGTTTCGATCTGACGATGCAATTTGCAAGAAAATGACTCGAGTTTTTTCAGGTTGATGTTTTAGTTTAGTAGCAACTTGCAGTATTTGGAAAAACTATCTCTAGCGCGGCCTATTTTATGTTTAATTTCCTTTTCTTCTACAGTAAATTTATTATAACTGATCCATACGACGAAGTATTTGAAGTGTTTGGTATTTACTAATTCCACATCCTGAATGTTTATGACGGATTCAGGGTATGTGCCATCACTGGTTTCATTTCAATTCCAGATCATAATTTCTGTTTTGAAAAGGTTTATCTTGAGTCCCATTTCTTGAACACTTGATAGAGGATATTTTCTGTTCAAGATCATTCTTATTCCAAATATGAACACGTATGTCATCAGCATAGTAACCCCCTCCACCCCCACCCCGCACATCATCAATATATTAGCCTTGAGAAGGAAAGCAGGATCTTTGTCTTCTATTAGTAGATTCGTTTGGGGTGTGGTCAGTGCCCATCTAGAGATTTACCATAACCCACCCCCACTGAGTCAGGTTGTGACACAAGGTCGGATTTTAATGTGGAGACCCGAGTGTTCCCACTCGGCCCGCTGGTCTAAGTTGGTCAAAGCTTCTCTAAGCTTGTCTAAGCTAGTCATAGCCGGTCATACCACCGCTACGTAACAGATGTTACGCAATGGTAAGGCGAACGCAGGGGAGGAGAGAAGGCCTCCGACACGGAACAGATACTACAACCGAGGTATCTACTCCGACGTAACCCCCACCTTCTTCTCCTCTGCCAATCCCTCCGGAAAAATCCAAATAAATATATGAAGTAATAAACAAATTTAAAAACTGCTTCCGCCAAAATAATAGTTAGAATAAACTACAACAATCAACCCCAAAATTGAATAAATAGCTTTATCTTCCGACACCAAAACAAAACTATTAAATAAGCGATATAAACAAATTTTTACTACGTTAATAAAAACACGGATTAAAATAAAAATAAAAAAATAAATATATAAGATAAGAAATAAAAATAAAAAATAAAAATAAAAATAAATAATGAGAAGTAAAATGATTTAACCCAAATAAATACACAAATATACGACTTCCGGCAAAATAACCGCCAAAATAGACTACCCACAATACACCACTGGCCCGTATATATAAATAGCCGAGAAAAATAACAGCACTCGTGGCCTGACGATTGCGTCTAGCATTAAACAGACTGCCGCCTCTAAGTGTTGACTTCAATGTTCACTTTTATATTTACACACGCTCTATCTCTATTATTGAGCACTTTATCCCATAAATATAGCACACCTTAAGACTATATTTCTTCCTATATATATATATATATATATGTGTGTGTGTGTGTGTGTGTGTGTGTGTGTGTGTGTGTGTGTGTGTGTGTGTGTGTGTGTGTGTGCCATTTCGGTTGCTGAATTAATAAATCAACTGTCTCCAACTTTATTCAATGTGTGACATTTTTCTTTGGGGTTAGTTAAAGATCTATTATAGCAAACCAAGACTTTGGAAGAAGGGCGAATACAAAACGTTATGTCTTTCATACCACAAGAGTTCCTGGTGAAATCAGTTGACGCACTTACTGGGCGACTTGAGAAGCAGGTAACGAAATCTGGTGCCCATATAGAATTTTAAATAAATCCTCGTGCTAAACACTTTCCTTTCATATCAATGTGTTCTAAAAATTATAGTTAAGAAATAAATTATAAGTATTTTAAAATGGGAAGTTACTTTTCAATCACCATGTGTGCGTGCATATATATATATATATATATATATAAAGTCATCCACAGACAGACTGTTTCGCAGCTCTTCAGTGTGGCTAGACATCTGGTTGCCTCTAGCTAGGATCGAAACCCGACTGAATTGGTGAATTTTAGCATATTTATTTTGGGATAAACACACACAGCGACCGACAGTGACTCAATTCGCTTTTGCCGAAGAGTCTCGCTATATCAGCCATAATAGTCACTGTTTACAAACCCACATCTCTTCCCCAGAGAGCTCAACTGAAATTAATTTTTCAGGAGCCTATATAAAGTCATCCACAGACAGACTGTTTCTGCTGTTTCACACCTCTTCAGTGTGGTTATATATATATATATATATATATATATATATATAGAGAGAGAGAGAGAGAGAGAGAGAGAGAGAGAGATTGGTAGTAGTTAAAAATATACATTAGGAATTCGAATTGTAATAATGGACATGGGAAGACACAATACTTTTAAAAATACCAGCATGACACCCATCATCGACATGGGAATACACGATAGTGAAATACCACAAAAGAAACACAATGCATTCCTATAAAAACAATCTTTCAACCTACAAAAAATCTCAAAAGACATTTCTCAAATTATACCTCGCCAACTATTACACACACACACACACACACACACACACACACACACACACACACACACACACACACACACCCGCCATAGACAATATATATATAGGTAGGTAGGTGGAAATTTATACATTTTTTGTAGAGTCAAAATTAATCATTTTAAGCAAAAAATATATATGCACACACGCAAACGCACACACATACACACTCACACGAGCGTGCGCGGAATGGGCGCTTCGTCGGTAAGCAATGTCGAACAATTATGCCTCATATATCATTACTATTAAAGTGAATTCGATTCTCACTGTGTGACTTTACGTCGTACTAAGCTAATTTATGTAAATACATATATATATATATATATATATATATATATATATATATATATATATGAAGAAAAAATATACTGAAAATACAAACAAAATCCTAATATGCGATTATGCTGTTTTAATGTTTAATGTCAACGTCGGATTTATACCTTTCCCAAGAGTATTTGCTCCTAAGTGAATTGAAACTCGGCTCTCCCAGCCATTATCTATTACATCACCCGCACATCCAAGCTTATTGCACCTGGTATGCCGAAGCAGTCACCCATCTAGGTACTCACTAGACTCAACGTTGCTTAACTTCGGTGATCGTACGAGAACCGATGTTTCGACGTAATGTGGCCGTAAGTTTTTCAGAAAACTTGAAAGATAAGTAGAGAGATATTCATGTCTGTATATACATCTACCTATCTCTATGTATGTAGGTTGGGAGGTACGTGTGTGTGTGTGTGTGTGTGTGTGTGTGTGTGTGTGTGTGTGTGTGTGTGTGTGTGTGTGTGTGTGTGCGTGTGTGTTACAAAGTGTATTTCTTCCTCTACTTTACTATCTGTGAATCGCTATACCATTTGGAGAAAGATAACGAAATGATTTCCCGTCCTGGGTAAGACGATAAACTGCGTCCAACAGCAAGGCCTCTGATCAAGAAGTTTTGAGGAGCGTGGAACAACTTCTTAATTGCTGGTGTTCCCAGGTCCACCCTGACCCGTGATGGTGCCAACTGTTAGTGTCCCAGCTATGGGTAAGTGGTTAACTTCCAAACTGGGGCCAAAACACGCTGAAAGTATAAAAATATGCTTTAATACCAGAAATACTTTATAAAAAATTATTGCCAGCAATACATTATTACCAGCAATACATTTTTGAAAAAAAATATTACCAGTTATACATTTATGGGAAAAAAATTACCAGCAATATATTTTGAAAAAATATTACCAGAAATAGATTTTTGAAGGAAAAAAATACCAGCAATACATTTATGAAGAAAAATATTACCAGCAATAAAAAAAGAAATAAACTTGTCAACATTAAATAATCCACTGGGGTTGATATGCCGTAAAACAAAATAAACCAAATGGAATGATTTCCCCTTTGCCGTCTTCACGGTTTAGAATTCAGATTTTTCTTTCTAAACTGGTTGTTAAATATTTCAGTCTGCTTCGCTATTTAAGTGCTAGTTGGAGAGAGAAGTCATGGATCCATGCTTTTCCTGAAAGCATTTGTTTGGAAATGAATGCAACTGACTAGACTGGAATTTGAACTCTGTTCACGGATTCCAATTTCTACACCGATAAAGAATAAAGCGAAAATGAACAATATCATCAAAATCAATGCATTGTTCGTCCTGACCGGCAGAAGTCGTTGTTGCTATTATGACCAAGATTTCATGATCTCTTTGTGCCTCTAGCTTCCAGTGTTGCAAACTGTTCCAGTCTTTGAGATCTTTGCATTATAGAAAGAGTGTATCAACGTGAAAAGATATTTTATCACGCCGCCTACAGTCAATGCGTTAAACGCATGTCTCTCCCGTCATGGTTTCGTCAACCATCTGAAAATCTGCAACGGTTGTAGAAGATTCTTCCAAACTTTCATTAGCACAGACAGACCATAATGATTTTAAAACATTGTTATTGAAGGTTTTACAAGTACTTGACAAGCCTCTCAGTAATTGGATAGAAATCAAACTTTCTTTATTCAAATTAATGAAAACCCTTTTAAAAGAACCATTTCCAACAGAGAATTGAATGAGAGGCCTTTATGTCTGTGTGAGCAATATTTTCAGTATCATTGAGCTAAGAAAATGCGGAAGGCGGTAAAGTTTTCATGCCGCGAGTTTCCTCTCTCAACTATGAATGGAAGGTGCCTCAATGCACTTGGAATTTTCTTACTCAGGTTTGTTCAGACTCCCCACATCCATAGATATGCCCATATATATACATCCATGCATGCATATATATATATATATATATATATATATATATATATATATATATATATATATATATATATATATATATATATATATATATATATATATATATATATATATATATATATATAGTCGACTCTCCTGTCGAGTTCGACGTATGAGGGTCAAGCAGATCAGTTCCCAGGAAACCGACAGCCCGACAACAGCACATGAGATTTGATTATAGTGGTAAAGGTTTCGTGCAGGACCAGCCACACTTTTTGTAGTGTATATATATATATATATATATATATATATATATATATATATATATATATATATATATATATATATATATATATATATATATATATATATATATATATAAGTGTGTATATATATATATATATATATATATATATATATATATATATGAAGTATATATGGATAGATAGATAGATAGATAGATAGATAGATAGATAGATAGATAGATAGATTATAATTATTTTCTTTTTAAAAAATGACTCCATCGCTACACAGAAATGTCTATGTTTCAAAACTGAAACTAAAGTTGTAAATTTAATTATAAAAATTAAACTCAAAATCCAGAGTTTCGTTCCATTGTCAAGCGATGTTAGGAATTAAATTTACAATTTTAGTTTCAGTTTTGAAACAGAAATTTCTGTGTCGCAATGGAATCATATTTTTTAAAAAAAGAAAATAATTATAATATTATTCTCTAGTGTTTGTATCGAGCACTACTTTTTGTTAAATAAAAATAATTGCTAAAAAGGCCGGATTATAAATCTTACTGTTCCTTTTTATTATATACATATATATATATATATATATATATATATATATATATATATATAATTTTGTAATTTCAGTCTGATGAGGTAGGTATTAAAAAACTTACCTGCTGAAATAAATTTATTACTGGATTTTTCGATGATGTGTAATTTTTTTTCTTTTGATGTATATCATATTGCTCTGTATAAAATACACTGAGCTCTCTTCATGGATCTATCTTTTTAATATTTTATATTAAAAAAATACTTGATTATCCTTTCTTTTACGGATTTATATATATATATATATATATATATATATATATATATATATATATATATATATATGAGATTTCTGGGAAAGGATTCTTTAATGTTGATATCAAGTTTACTTTACCAAATATGTATTAACCCTCCGTTTGTACAGTGGAGTGTTTGTATATCACAGGAGATGTTTTTTCCTTAATATGTAGCAAGTGGTAAATCAAATTTTGATTAGTCAAGTAGCTTTCTGAAAATCTCTGTTAAGTAACTACAAAAAGTTTCTGGTTTTTGTCATGATAAACTTTTGTCAATTTTATTTGTCTACTGAAAAAAATTAAATCTATCTTTGCGTATTTAAATTTTGAAAAGTTAGAAATTCATTTTTATAATTTCGATTTTTTATTCGATTTCTTCAAAATACAAACCTTTTCTCTTTTTCATTTATCTCATCAGAACCATATAGAACACTTAATATATAACAAGAAAATTAAGAATGCAATTAAATGGGGTGTTTGAAAACCCCACGGTACTGATTCAGGGTCAATGTCCCGCAGTACGAACGAAGGTTTACAGAATACTGCACAAACAAAAAAGAAAATTAAAAAAATAGGCATTTCAGATTATTTGATTTACAATCCAATGTTTTTTTCCCTCTCAATATATTTTTATGTTACTGTAGAAATATCTGTAAGGTTCCAAAAAGAGGCACTCGCTCCCTGTTTATAGCATCCGTTATTTACTTCAGGCTGAAGTTTAAGGAGAGAAAGACATAACTCATCTTAGTCTTCATTCTTTCTTCCTACAGTCACCTACTGTCGAGCGAGAGTTACTAAATCTAAAATAGAAGGGCAGGCTGGAATAATACAAGGGCAGGTTGGAAAATTAATTCAAAATTAATTTGCTTTCAGAACAAAAAATGTAGGAAGTAAAGTTTGGAATAAATAAACAGGTTGGGAAAAGTCGAAAATAAAATAAGTGGGGATTTCGAATAACAGTAAATATATTAGAAAAAAATCAAAATTTTAAATAGCTGGGTAACACCGTCTATTCAAGACGCAAAAGTAGAAAGTTATCCACACAAAAGTGTTTGGAGCATCACTGAGGGTTGTACTCTTGTCTTTTAGTTTATGCTAGATTAAACTAATAGCTTCCAAGTTACAATACTACGATCAAGATAACTGGTACTTATGTTACTATATAAAAAGAAGCAATGGTTGGTTATGTAAAAAATAATCCCTAACTATATAAGTAGAAGCAATGTCTGGCAATATAAGAAAAAGCAATGCCTGGCTATATAAGAAGAAGCAATGCCTGGCTATATAAGAAGAAGCAATGGTTGGTTATGTAAAAAAAGAACCCCTGGCTATATAAGTAGAAGCAATGCCTGGCTATATAAAAAAGCAATATCTGACTATATAAGAAAAAGCAAAACCTGGCTATATAAGAAGAAGCAATGGATGGTTATGTAAAATATAATCCCTGGTTATATAAGTAGAAGCAATGCCAGGCTATATAAGAAAACGTAATGCCTGACTGTAAGAAGAAGCAAAACCTGGCTATATAAGAAGAAGCAATGATTGGTTATGCAAAAAAAAATAATTCCTGGCTATATAAGTAGAAGCAATGCCCGGTTATATAAGAAAAAGCAATGCCTGGGTATATAAGAAACTATGTCAGAATATATAAGAAGAAGCAATGTCTAGCTGTATAAGAAGCAATATCTGGCTATATAAGAAAACGCAATGCCTGACGCTGTAAGAAGTAATGCCTGTCTATATAAGAAGAAGCAATGGTTGGTTATGTAAAAAAATAATCCCTGGCTATGTAAGTAGAAGCAATGACTGGTTATATAAAAAAAGCAGTATCTGGCTATAAAAGAAAAGGCAATGCCTGGCTATATTTGGAGAAGCAATGGTTGGTTATGTAAAAAAAATAATCCCTGGCTATATAAGTAGAAGCAGTACCTAGTTATATAAGAAAAAGCAATGCCTGGCTATATAAGAAGCTATGTCAGACTATATAAAAAGAAGCAATGTCTAGCTATATAAGAAGCAATGTCTGGCTATGTAAGAAAAATCAATGCCTGGCTATATAAGAAAAAATAATACCTGGCTATATAAGTAACACTGACAGGCTGTATAAGAAGAAACAGAAAAATATAGGATCCAAGCTTTTCGAAAAGGCTCAATAAATGTAAAAGTGAATCTATATATTCAATATGCTTTCATCAGTTTCATGTTCAGAGATATTTTCAAAACTGAATCGTCTATGTTTCCGCGTGCGTACAGTTGCATGTAAAAGTCGATTCATTATTGGGTTTATTCGGCGTTTCAATCGATCATATACGTATTTCGATTGCGTACATCTTTATAACATCCACGATGATC